TTTTTTTTTTTTTTTGTTTAAAATTCCTACGATGTAATTGGAGCTTATCGGCAGAAACGAATCAATTTCTATAGTTGATAGCCCTTTGGTGGCTCCAGCCATTTGTTGAAACTTAAAACTAACCATTTAACGTTCTTAGTTAGCACTTACTAGTCTACTAAACAATCATATGAGCAACAACGGCAGCCCTCATAAAACGAACACTATATATAGACTATACACAAGAAAAAACAGAAAAACATGTTTAGTTCCATATCTCAATGCATAACCACATATACTCGTTCGTATTTACTCCATAGAGCACAATTACGGTCCTAAACATTCTTCTTTCACCTCCGACTTCACCTCAACACCAACACCAATTCCAGCCAGTTTCTGTTCGAATGCTTCAAGTTGCTGCTCATAATCCATATTGCATCATGCCTTTCAGCCTCGGCAACGAAACGAGCCTTCTCCTCCTCACTCATAGACTCCCACTTGAGAAAAAGATTGTCCTTAGAGAAATAGAGTTCTCGGGAAGAAAGAGAGGATGCGACAAACAATGCTGCCCGACAACTTTATTTGTTTTGTTTAATTAGTGTATAGATTAAGATTACGTAAGAATATGCAAAACTAAATATTTTGAATGTATAAACATTCAATTTTTAAACTTCAGAAATTTCGATAAATGACAAATTAATGGCATGCTTAGCCCAAAAACCACTAAGGTTAGAGTTGAGTTGGTCTGTTTTTTGAAATCTAGAATTTTTTTCAGAGCAAAGAACAAATTAGTTCTTTTATAGAAAACTCTGAAGCAATTCCCCGACTCCCTTTGTCCCATATTGCATTTAGCTGAACATTTCCGCATTTTTCATTCTCTGTCAATTGTATTTCTTTGGAAATGGCAGAATCTTCCCATTTACAGTTCAAACATGAAAACAGATTTCACAAACATATGACTAAATAAAATTGAGAATACAAATAGCGTGCAAGTTCAGGTTGGGCACAAACACAAGAAATTCAACTGATTAAATGATATTACAAATAGTAACCTAAGATTACAGCCCATTAACCTGTTCAGTCCAATATTCACTCACAAGCTGACATGCCTTGGATCCTCGCTCAAACAATTCAATTCTCTGAAGCGCTTCAAGAAAATGATTTGACATCGAAGTTGATCTATATTTCGGATGTAGTATTTCCATTCTCTCAAGTACATGAGAATTCCTCAAAAGATAACGCACCAGGTCAAGTTCATAGTCTTCAAAACTTGGTTGCTTAATTGTTATAGTTCTAAGAGACGATAGTAGGCATTTAGGCACTTGTTTCGGCTCCATGCAAGAATTACGAATTTCTACTTTATGATAGCATCGGCAAGATCCAGTTACAATAAGGACTTGAAGATTATCAGCAACTTCAAGAAACTCTACAAGCAATTGCCATTCAACACCCAATTCGAGTTCGAGTTTGGTCAAATTATTGAAGTTTTCGATCGAACCAACAACTCTGTCAATAACCTGCAAAAATAAAAATCAACTCAAGAACAATAAGATGGGACGCTTTATCAGTGAATGAGATGACAGGAAAAATCACAACACTACATACCTGCAGGTAACAACAACATGATAGCTTTAAGCACCTGATCTGATGCAAATGATTAAAGAACTCGACCAAATTGGATTGGTTACTGTTGTCGATTTTCCACCACCCATAACATTTTCTAAAGCAGAAGTCCACCTCAACTAAGGAGGTCATGTATATTGGAAAGGTTATGCACCCCAAATCACAATTACCCACACAGAGACGTCTAATTGCCGGTGCATCTATTATAATCTTATAGTTCAGGACATATTTAGAATTCCTTTCAAAACTAAGATCAAGCCTTTTTATCGTTGATGATGATATATTAACATAACAATGGATTTCTCTTGTGACCACATGATTAAGGATCAACTCTTGGAGCAAAGGACAGCCAGAAAGCAATTGCGAAAGGGCTTCATTATCCTCAAAATCAACTCGAGAAAGATGAAGTTTCTTGAGGCTAGGCAAATATATGTTCCTAGGTAAATGCAGACCTCTGGCGTTATCGAGCCTCATGTCGACCATGGTTTTGCAGGTGAAGAGGGTTTTATGCAAGAAAGCAATACTTCCAATTCCAAAGCCGAAATCGATATGAAGATTCCGGAGGTTACGCTCCATGGCAGCGGTGACCCATGACTCCAGTTGATACTCATTGCACGGTAAACGGTTGAGCCGAAGAGTATGCAATGTTTGCGCCTTGTGCCGCATAATGATCCTGTATATCACGTCTGTAATTGGTTGTGTTTTGTTTCTGAAAAGATCTGGATCGAAATCCAAAACGGGGACGTGGGCCCACAAAAACCTCCATCTTTTAGCGAGAACGCAGGTTGACACAGAGAGCTTTATCCTGAGGAAGGAGAGAATGTGGCATATGACTTCTTCTGGCAAGCTGCTCAGCCTATCGATTGAAGGCTCGCGACTCATTCCACTCATTTGTCTTCTTCTCTCTCTCTCTCTCCCCTGATGATATTCAACTGCTTCAAACGAAAAACATGATAAAATTAAGGAAAATCACAGGGAAAATCTTACCAGCAGCAGCTTCACGAAAATCTGAAAGGTACCCCCTTTTCCTATTAAATTTTCGCAGTTGGCCAGTTAAATCGTAGCCTGTAGGGTAGGGTGTGTAGAGGCGAAGGGTAGAAACTTGATATTTGGGCCTTGAACAGTTCCGGACAAACGCCAGGCCCTGTTCCAGGGCGGGCCACAAACACCCGTGGTCGACGGGCTGAGCTCAACTATCAACGTGTCGACATTTCCAATTGGCCCAGCCCGTTGGTTCGGGGTCCCCAGGCCCAATATATTGGAAGTATGATTTTGGTTCCTAATTTGGCAGGCTTGATTTCGGGTCGGCTCCGTTTATTTATTATTATAATTGTTCTTTTCAGTTAAAATACACTAGTACGTACCTCGTGCGATGCACGGGACAAAGATATTAAATGAGTTATTTTAACAGGCTCCGTCGGTTTAAGCCTAAAATGCAAGTTATCGTCTATTTTTCACCTCTATTAGTCAGCGTTAAGTTTAAAAATTAAACAATAGAGTTATAATCTATTTTTCACATCTTTTAATCGACCTTTTTTTTAGTCAGAACATTAAATATGAGCATGTTAGGGTTAGCTTGTAAAATAATTAATATAGTATCTAGCTAACACATTTATACTAACATAATTTAATTTTAGTATATATATTCTTTGATATAAAAAAAAATAATTGTTTTACTTATTCTTGTTCACCATATAATACTTAACTTTTATTTTATTATAAACTTTGTTGTCATGTCATCTCATTATTATGTATAAAAGTTATAGAGGTTGTACGTTTTTTTTTTTTTTATGTAATGAAAAGTATTTAATGCACGTTGGTGTTATTTACTTATGCAATCAATTTAAAATATGTAAATAAAATTAAAATTAATTAGAGTATAAATATTTTACAAAATATGCATAAATATTTTTTAGAATTTAATTTTATACTAATTAAACAACTTTAATATAAAAAATATCAAAAACTCAATCCTTCTATAATCAAGATATTTATATAATTTGCACTATAAAGATTTATAGCTTATTCAACATACTCTGTAAGAAAATATATTTTACCAAGGTTTTATTATAGAAAGAAATTAAAAAAAAAAGATAAAAGACATAATTTGTGGACAATAATATACATATAATTTCTAAAGAATAGTTAATATATTTTAATTTAATTTTTGACTATTAATAAAACTATTTAATGTATCTGGTCATTAT